AAATAATGAATGGATTGAGCTGAAATTTGGTGGAGGATGGTTATTTGGGCATTGGAAAGCACCGTAGAAAATTGATACCATTTGGACATCCCAAAGTGGTACTTCCTTCCCAATGCTCTTCTATGGACAGAAACTTGGGACAACTAGTGAGAGAAATTGGATGAATGAAATGAGCTCAAATTTGGTGTAGGTAAGTTACATAGGTATGGTTATGCCTTGGTAGATTTTCAGATCATTTGGGTAAGCCTAGCTAGTACTTACTTCACAAAGCTTCTCTCGAGATAGAAACTTTGAAAATTTCCTGAGAAAGATTGACTAGGAAAATGGAGTTGAATATTATCATGTGGCAATGATTTGGGTATGTAAGAGTGCCCAAAGAGTTTGAGGTTAATAGCAGGGGTCTAGATAACACTTGCTTTGCAACGTGCCAATTTGGCCATAAAATATAAATTGAACCTAGGCTCACATAGATAATTTGCCTGAGCTGCAATTTGGAGGAGGGTGATAATTTGGGCATATGAAGAAACTGTATAAATTTCATGTCATTTGGATATATAAAAAAGGTACTTCCTTCACAATGCTTCTAGGTGGACAAAAACTTTGGAAATTTGCCGAGGAAGATTTGCTAGGCAAGTGGAGCTGAATTTTATCATGCGGTAATGATTTGGATAGGAAAGAGTGCCCAAAAATTCCGAGGGCAATCAAGAATATATAAATAGCACTTCCTTCATAAAGTGTTGTCGTGAACAGAATAGGAAAATGAATATTGTTGAATTAGTTTTGAACTAGGCAAGGAAGGATTTTTACATATTTGATGAAGATATGACCCAAAGAATTTATGAGATTTTTTTGGGAATTTTGGGAATGACAGAAATATAGGTTGCTTCACAACCTAGGGCAAAAACTGCCGCATGGACATGACACATAGGCAAAACTGATGAGGTGGCGCCTAGTCATAGCAACCCACCACAATTTACAAGGTTATGACCATCTATATTGGTCATGATCAGCTAGAAATAAGGCAGCAGACCAGTGCTATCTGCTTTATGACCATTTCGTGTAAGGAAATTACGACCTTTCTGACCAAAATGGTCGTTATAGTTTAGGTTTTGGAGCCCCCCGAACAACTTTTGACCAATTGGTCCGAAATGGTCATAGATCTATGCCCAATTCTTCTAGGGTTACTAACAGAAGGTCATAAGTTGACATATTTCTTGTAGTGTATTTACCCTTCATAAGGACCCTGTTCATCGAATCCGATCCGACTAAAGTGGGAGAGACAGACACCCGCTAGCCACCTTATGCAACTAGTGCATGTCAGTCGGTGGAACCAGTCTCACGTAAGCGTACGTGTAAGGTTGGTCCGGGCCGCTTCATCCCACAATGCCGCCGAATCAAGATAATACTAGTGACGGCAAGATAATCGACAATATCGACGCCCACAACTGCTTTGTGTTCTACTCGTGCATAGTAACTAAGCATAGACCTAGCTCATGATGCCACCGTTGGGGAACATAGCAGAATTTTAAAAATTTCTACGCATCACCAAGATCAATCTATGGAGTCATCTAGCAATGAGGGAGAGAGGAGTGCATCTACATACCATTGTAGATCACGAGCGGAAGCGTTCTAGAGAACGGGGTTGATGGAGTCGTACTCGTCGTGATCCAAATCACCGAAGATCCTAGCGCCGAACAGACGGCACCTCCGCATTCAACACACGTACGGAGCGAGGACGTCTCCCGCGCCTTGATCCAGCAAGGAGGAGGGATAGGTTGAGGAAGAGGGCTCCAACAGCAGCATGACGGCGTGGTGGTGGTGAAGTTGCAGTACTCCGGCAGGGCTTCGCCAAGCTCTTATGGAGGAGGAGAGGTGTTGGGGAGGGGAGGGGCTGCGCCTTGGATGTTGTGTGCAACCCTCCCCTCACCCCTCTATTTATAGGGGAAGGGGGAAGGGGGCCGGCCCCCTCTAGATGAGATCTAGAGGGGGGGCGGCGGCCAAGGGGAGGGGGCTTGCCCCCCAAGCAAGGGGGCGCCCCCTTTAGGGTTTCCCCCAAACCCTAGGCGCATGGGCCCTAGGGGGGTGTGGCGCCCCAGCACACTTGGGCTGGTTCCCTTCTCCATACAGCCCATAAGGCCCTCCGGAAGAGGTGGCCCCTCCCGGTGGACCCCCGGAACCCCTCCGGTGGCCCCGGTACAATACCGATATGCCCCCGAACCTTTCCGGCGACCGTATGACAACTTCCCATATATAAATATTTACCTCCGGACCATTCCGGACTCCTCATGACGTCCGGGATCTCATCCGGGACTCCGAACAACATTCAGTAATCACATACAAGTCTTCCTAACAACCCTAGCATCACCGAACCTTAAGTGTGTAGACCCTACGGGTTCGGGAGACATGCAGACATGACCGAGACGACTCTCCGGTCAATAACCAAAAGCGGGATCTGGATACCCATGTTGGCTCCCACATGCTCCATGATGATCTCATCGGATGAACCACGATGTCGAGGATTCAATCAATCTGTATACAATTCCCTTTATCAATCAGTACGTTACTTGCCCGAGACTCGATCGTCGGTATCCCAATACCTTGTTCAGTCTCGTTACCGGCAAGTCACTTTACTCGTGCCGTAATGCATGATCCCGTGATCAACCACTTGTCACATTGAGCTCATTATGATGATGCATTACCGAGTGGGCCCAGAGATACCTCTCCGTCATACGGAGTGACAAATCCCAGTCTCGATTCGTGCCAACCCAACAGACACTTTCGGAGATACCTGTAATGTACCTTTATAGTCACCCAGTTACGTTGTGACGTTTGGCACACCCAAGGCACTCCTATGGTATCCGGGAGTTGCACAATCTCATGGTCTAAGGAAATGATACTTGACATTCAGAAAAGCTACAACAAACGAACTACACGATCTTTGAGCTAAGCTTAGGATTGAGTCTTGTCCATCACATCATTCTCCTAATGATGTGATCCCGTTATCAATGACATCCAATGTCCATAGTCAGGAAACCATGACTATCTTTTGATCAACGAGCTAGTCAACTAGAGGCTCACTAGGGACGTGTTGTGGTCTACGTATTCACACATGTGTTACGATTTCCGGATAACACAATTATAGCATGAACATGAATAAAGAAATATAATAATAACCATTTTATTATTGCCTCCAGGGCATATTTCCAACAGTGCCAAGATCCGTGCTTGCCATCGGACGGTTATGGAGGCGAACCCGAACTGACAACAAATATGATGTCAGATATATAAGATTTCCCAATAAAATCACAATCACAAGTTTGTCATTTGTTTTCCTCTACTCAAATCAACATAAAAAATCCCGCAATAATACTAGACGTACAGGGTGATTGATACAAGGGAAATGATTAAAATCACCCGGCGGATCACGCTCTTTTCGTCCGCCGTCTTGTGCACACGACACGTGTCAGTGGGCTCGCAGTCTCCACCTTCCTGAAACAACTACCAGATCCAATCGTACTTCATGATAAGCCCATCTTTCTCTTGCATCTCTCCTTCATCCAGATGAGGTGCTGCAGCCGCGCCACCGCCGAACACCCCAGCTGCACCGCCGCGGACGCCGGCGAGCACGCGCTCCGCCGTCGCGGTCGCTGGCCGCCTCCACCGCCACCATCTTTCCTCCTTCCTCTTCTCGATTAATGGCGCCTGCTCCTACTGCTATTTGGTAATGAAGAAGATGACCTCCGCTCGCCACCGTCCATGGCAAGGCCGTCGTCCACTTCTGCAACATCACTTCTGTTGCAAAAAATAAATCCGCAACATGAACTCCATTGCAAAAAATCAGCAACAACTCTGTTGCAAAAAAAACTGCAACAAGACGTTTGTTGCAAAAAAATCCGCAACAAAACCTCTGTTGCATTAAAAAAATCCGCAACAAGACCTCTGTTGCAAAAATATTCCGCAACAAGAGCTCTGTTACGAATGTTTCTGCAACAACCTTTTTGTTGCAAAGCAGTGAAAAGACGTTCGCCCGCTAAATTTGTGTCAGATTCGATGGCTCGCGAGGCGGCGGATCTTTTTAGAAGATCCACCGGCCGACGCGTAGCAGCCCCCTTGATACAAGAGAAAATTCCTTATTTGACACTGTCTTAAAATCTGGTTCTTTATTTGACACTGAAAAAGTTTTTCTTTCCTATTTGACACTAGTCCTAAATTTTATTCCCTATATGACACTTCCGTCCATTTTGAGCCTAAATGACATCTAAAAAGACGATTTTGCCCCTCACACGGTATGTGTGCGCGCGCGTGTGTGGGTGCACGCGCACATGTGTGCCGCTGCTGCATGTGTGCTGCTGCATGTGTGTATGCATGTGTGCTGCTGCGTGTGTGTTTGCTACTGCGTGTGTACGCGCGCGTGTGTGTGTGTGCTGTTGCGTTCCTATGTGCTGCCTGCGTGTGTGCTGTTGCATGTGTGTGTGTATGTGGGTGTGTGCTGCGTGCGTGTGGGTTGCTACGTGTGTGTGCGCGTGCATGTGTTGCTACGTGTGTGTATGCACGTGCGTGTGTGTTGGTGCATGTGTATGTGTTGTTGCGTGTGTGCTCCTGCCCTCGCACTGATGCTGCGTGTGTACACTATTGCCCCCCACACACATACCATATGAGGGCAAAAGAGTTTTTTCAGGTGTCATTTAGGTTTAAAATGGACGGAAATGTCATATAGGGAATACAATTTAGAGTTTGTGTCAAATAGGGAAGACAAACTTTTTGAGTGTCAAATAAGGAAGCAGATTTTAAGATAGTGTCGAATAAGGAATTTTCTCTTGATACAAAGCTTTACATGAAGAAAACATGGCCCATCAGCCCCGTAACCTCCCGGTAACTTCCCGTACTTCGCATTGCTCAAAATCCCGTCGTCAATCAGGCCGTTCCGGCCGGACTCCCCACCTCCCCTAGAAACCCTACTCCTTCCCTCCCCACCCGCAATCCTCGCCGCGATTGCAGCGATGACGTCTCCCTTCCTCGCCGCCTCAGGCCCCGACGACTACGCGTTCGTCCGCTGCGCCTCCGGCTGCGACTCCTGGGCCCCCCACCACGCCCGCCTCGACGGCGACTCTTATCGCCTCTGCTCCTCCTGCGTCCTCCTCTCCAACCCCGAGGCCTACTGCTCCGCCTGCCTCCTCCTCCTCTTTCCCGGCGCCTACGCCGCCTCCTCCCGTGAAGCCCACATCGACTTCTCGCCAGGCCCCACAGCCGCCTGCTCCAACTGCGGCGTCTTCGTCGCTCACCTCTCCTGCATCGCGGACCCCTACTCCTTCATCTGCCCGCCGTGCGCCGCCGCCGTCGGCAACATGCCCTTCTCGTACGATCACGCGGGAGTGGGGCGGCGCGCGCTGGAGGGGCGCTCCGCGCGCGTCCTCCTCACCGCGGCGCTGCTTTCGCACGAGTCCGCCTTGCACGACGCCGCCGCGGCCCGCGAGAAGGCGGAGCGTAGCCTACAGGAGGCCGCGGCCGCCCGGAGGCAAGCGCGCGCCATGCTAGACGCCGCGTTTCGCGTCGCAGAGGCGGAGGCCTACAGGGACGCCAAGGAGCAGGCCACGCCGTCCGCGCCCGCAGTCGTGCAGCTTAAGAAGAAGACGCCTGATACCAACGGGCACAAGAGGAAGACCCCCAAGAGCAACGATGCCAACAGGGAGAGGGACAAGCTGCTCAAGTTCAACGACATGCAGCAGCCGGCGCTGGCATTTGCAGCGGCGGCTGCGGCCGCAGCCAGCTCAATGCCATCGCCGATGCCATCATCAAGACTGAACCAGAGTCAAGTGAAACAGGAGGCCATGCCATTGCCGATGCCGTCATCGACATTGGCCCGCGGAGGTGAATAAGCATGACATTATTGCAGATGCAGAGCCAATCAATTAACTGTACTGCACAGTAACTGACTAACTGTTGTGTAATTCTTTCAGGTTCAGCAGACAGAGCGGCGAAAGATGATTACAGGGCACTCTTCGGCACCTTGCAATAGTGAGATTGGGGGGTTCCATTATCATTGCCCTGCAGCATTTGGTTCCAGCAATTTAAGGAATGAAAAGTTCCAGGGTCAAAGAATCCCCATCAAGTGTGAATTCCTCTCACTGTAAATTCTAGTATTGAGGATATGTTAGCCGATCGTATCTACACTACTGTTTTCATCTTATATAGCTGCTCTGCATACTGTATCAGTTTGTTATTAATAGAAGAAAAAAATGTTGCTCGTGGATAATAGTTGCTCTCATGAATGCGAGAAAGATCCGTGCTGCTACAATGGAACCTATATTTGAACTTTGAACTGTTTGTTCCTTTCAGGTTTCAGAAACCATCTGGCTGATGCATCAAAGCACTCTATCATTGCACTTGGGTGCATATGTTCTTTCATTCATGTCATTTGACATGAGATTGTCAATGTACTTATTTTTCAAGACTACTAGGAAGACTGGAGAAACGAGATGAAGTGTCTCTGATCTTTCGTGTTGCTGCATTTCTAGCATATCTCACTGTGTTTAATCTTGTTGTCACTTTTGTACTCTGCTATTAACTTTTTAGGCTGAAATTAATAGAATGTCATTTTGCTAATAAAAATGTGAAGTTTAACTACATAGATTTCTCCATTCGTCCAACATATATACGGTCATGACCATATGTGTGACTTGCTCATGTTAGAATAAATAGAAGTAGTAGAGATCGTATGCTTAGATATAATATAAGATCATACAAAGCTTGTTTTCTCTGAAGCAGCCTACCTACGTAACACAAAACTTCACGTTTGGTGAAAGTATTGCACCCAGACAAGATCTAGCGCGCACAGCAGAGCGGGCGGAGCATGCATTTTTTCCGCAAAAATGTTGTACATAAACATCATCGTGAAGCACTAGAGCTGTGTCCACAGTTAATGCCTCCAGCGCAGGGGCCTTTTCCACAACATGCACAAGAAATTCAAGTTGACCTCTTGCCCCTTTATATCCTGTCATATGCACACTCTTCAGATAATTATATTCACAGTGCTCAAGGTACTGTGGCTTGTCCACAGTACCCTTGGCCGCAAGACAAAGATGACTACCACCGGCAGTAAACTGCAAGATTAAAACAAGGTAGCATATATGATTAGCACGATTTATATGATATAATCCATTACACAAATGTAAAGTAAAGAATAGATACACTAGCATCAACATGAACAAGATAGAAGGGCTAAAACCAAATAGAATATGGTGCCAAAAAACTTTATCTGTTGACACATAAGAATCAAGAACAGTACTTACATGGATCTCTAACTTCTCAATAGATGGAGCTGCTCTCAGAATGGAAACTACACGGGGAAGTTTGTTTATATCTACAAGTGTTATACCCAGTAACAACTGTAAGCACCTAAGATGGGAAAACATGCGTGTGCTATTCAAAAGTGGTTGCATCTGCAAGACAAAAGAAATAAGGTGATTGATGGGCCAGATGATGTTACAAATCAAATGGTAACTTCAGTGCCATTGTAGGAAACAAACCTCTATTCCCAGTTTCAAAATTTGTAGCGTCAGATTTTGCACCCTCGGAATACCATTGAGAACTACACTGACAGCATCATCGAAATTTGCCTTGAAGAGCCATAGTTGTGCATTTTCAAACATGGAATCTCGATTTATAACAATTGGAACAATGTGTCCATGATATACAAATGTATCCAGTTTCAGAATTGGAAGTTCTATCCTGGTTATGTCACACCATACAACTGCTAGGTGTCGAAGGTTGGGCAATGGACGATCCAACTTTAGCTCGTCATTCAGGTAGCATCTGACTAGGCTTAACCATTTAAGATAACAGCAATTGGACAATATAACTTCAAGATCCGTTCTAGTGATATCCACGAATTCTAGGTCAAGCTTTCTTAAGCTTGGGAAACCACTGAATTCCGATGGTGGTCTCAAAGATACAAAGCTAAGTTGAATGCACTCTAGACGTTATATGCTTTCACTATCCAAGAGGTGAAATGGAAATTCGTAATGATCAGGATCCCAAAGCCCCAGTTTATTTGGATCTAAGTAGAAAGCTATCTTCCTTATCTGTGCTGACACCGCAAAATTAACCCAATCATTCAGATGATCAACGAACATGTTGTCAAACTGCAATTTTATATTGAATTCTTCAATCAACTTGCCATGGCAATTTCTTACTACCGCGTTAACATTATTGATGAATTCCTGCATACGTTGGCAGTATTCTTTTCTTTCAAGAATACGATGGGGATACCCAGCAGGAACAGTGAAACATAATTTATAGCAACAAGTAGCACAGATATATCTCCAATTACTTGACAAAACACTAGCCCTTGAGACCTCTTTAGGAGGCAACTTTGATACAATTGTGCAGAGCACATCCTGTGGGCATCAACATAATATATCCCTTAGTATTAGAAATTCCATCAATACTCAACATTCACATAGAAAATAAATTTGACATACCTGTGGAAGGTCTTCCAATTTAATGTTTGATCTTGCATTCGTGATTGGTTTCCCATGGATATGGTTTGAGGATGTTCTTTTGCAAACTGTATGCCTCGTCATTTTTAATCTGAAATTAACCAGGCAGAGGTCTTCAGATATGATGGTATTAACAAGTGGATAGTAGCAATACTTGTAACTCAGAGGTGACAAGCATGTAATGAAAATATACCCCCCTTGGTTTCGAAATGGAGGATACTTTGTATAACATCTAATATGCATTTTTGACAATTAATTCTTGGAATGTATGCAAGTTCTACCACGCGGCAAGCGTGGTAAAAGCAATCTCAAATTGACAAAAAAAACGTATGCAAGCTATATTATAGTAAATTAATGTAAGTAGTACCACATAGATGACTATGTATCAATTGATCCAGAGGCCAGGGGCATAGTCTCCTTGTCAGAAAAAAAAACGTACGTACAATAATATAGAAAACCCAAATGCTTAAAAGTGTCCATATGCGGCTATTTGGGTGAAGCGAGGGCACCCTTTGGTCGGGAGCATGTGTGGTCCCACATGGGAAGAGGGACAATGGCGTGCATTGCATCACAGAGAGAAAATTCGGTTCCAGAATTATAGGAACTTGCATTTAATTTGCTTTTTTCTAAATTTTAAAGAAGTTATAGCTCTTAAGATAAATGAGTTTGACTGCATAATGTAGAATTTATAAAAATACATCTGCTTCCAGACAGAGTGAGTAGTATAGATGGTTGAAGTTACACTGTCCTTGTATCTGGTATCACAGGGTAATTAAAAATTTATGTTACTCTTTGCACATACTCCCTCTGTAAACAAATGTAGAGGGAGTAACTGCCAAAACGTCTAACATTTGTTTATAGAGGGAGTATATAGCAAACTTCGTCCTTGTTTACTGTGGAACGACAAGTCAGTATGATATGGTAGGAAAGAAGGATTAAAAGGAATTGAGATCTTTAACACACTAGGGTAAACAGGGTAGTTTAGACGGTTTTCTGAGTCTATGTTGTAATGTTAGATGACAGATTCAGCGGATCATTTGGACTTGATTAGACAGAAAAAGATAAGAGCGGTCATCTCGCTGAGCAAGAATCCACAGCTAATCCAGCATATAGCTTGAGAGAGAGGGACAAAGGAGGTTACCAAACCTGTGGAGATCAGCGACGGCGTCACCAGGGTCGAGGAAGCCGTGGCGGCGTTCTTGTGCTCCGGAGGTTTATCCAATTAGTAAGGGGTCTCAGCGGGAAGGTCGAGAGGATTCGTCTATTAGTATAGGGAGGGGCTGTGAAAGAGGGACACGAGAATCGAGCAACAAAAGGGCCGAGCCGAGTTCGATTGGGGGTTAAGGGTTTGTATCTGTGCCGGGCTGGGCTCGTCAACTTCTGAGAAAGCGGCCCGGCATGTTCGTTGTTGTCGTGGACGGATCGTAGTGCCTTTTAGTCCTTCGGTCGTCGTTTGGGCCGTCCAGTTGTGCCAGATAGAAGCCTCACAGAACTTTTTTTTTTGCGGGGACACATAACATGTTGTACAATCAAGCCTAATGAAAGGCTACTTAAACAGAGACGAGAAAAGGTGCATTTCCATCCAAAAGGAAAAATCTACAACGATCCATCATTCTTCATCAACGGTTTCAGTTCTCACATCAGGAAGAGGGCAGACCACATCGGTTGCTACAATCCCTAGAGTTACACATGGTACAACAGCAGGCAAAAAAACATTCAGGCTAGCTTGCTCCTCCGCTGCTCTGGCAGTGAAGCTCCGAACACCTGGGCCAGCACTATCTTCTGCCTCTTGTTCAGTCGGCACAACTGCTGGACCCTGCCGGTGTCACCGTTCAGCAGCCTGCGCCCATCGCCCGCGGCCTTTCTCCTGAGGGAGCAGAGCTGGGCCGACGGGTCAGTTGCAGCAGCCACTCCGTCGGCATCAGCTTCGGGTTCGTCTGCTCCCCAGTCTAACTCGTCGTCTGTCCCTTTCGATGCCTCATTTGTTGATTCGGAGCCTTCCCGGTTATCGTCTTTCGCGGGAGCGGTCTCTGTGTGGCTGTCAGTCCCCCACCATTTCATTGTTTCAGTAGACAGGCCAGATGATGGAAATCCGTACTTGAAATCATCCATGTAGGTGGGGATGTCTTTGGCTTGGCTAAACTGGGACAGGCTTGGCGCATTTTGTCGACCTATAGCTGTTCCTGCCTTCGCACTGCCTTGTTGAGCTTTTGGCACTCCCTGGAAAGCACCTGATGATGACCTATCAATACGACAAAATTAAGGGTCAGACAACTGCTGAAAGTTGTTTATTCATTACAACAATCATCATTTGGTCCATGTATGGTTAAGAGTAATTGTAAGACGCCGCATTGTACCATAAACTGGGAAAATGGAGATGATTAATATCATTCAACAAACTCAGAAATGAACAACAATAAATGAAGCGCTCTGGCCTTTGGAGGTCCTGGAGAGGGATCGTTTAAACAGAGTGGTCACGGTCAGGTTTACCTGGTACCTAACCAGGCTACTGCTCCCATCATCCAAGCCCTCCGAGAGCATATGGGCAGTCAAACCATTAACCAGTAAGAAACACACCTTATGCAAGTGGCACACAGAATAATCTCCACTTGACATTAATTAGCACAAGGATCCATGTTTCAAGTGCTTACAACACAAAGTTGCCAAGTGGGTGAAAGATTGATAAATCAATCTAAGGGTTGTGAGACTAGTAAACACTAAGCAGAGTAAAAGTTGCACCGAGTTTGAGGAGTTAAATCAGGCAACCAATACAACTGGACATAACGTTAAGAAAAATACAACTGGACCTAAATCCAAATCTATTGCATAGAAGTTACATGTGTAGCTTGAGAGGGGGTTGTGCTTTTAGACTACAGATAGATACAGCTCACAAGAAGGGAAACATGCATCATCAACACTACCTTCAATATAAATAATAAAACAGTTCCAATATCTTCTCAGTGGACAGTGAAAGTCGCAAATCATTCTATGTTATGCAGGATCAGGAGCAGGAACCCTAATAATCAGTAAAGTGTACAATCTTATACATGATTAAATTCTATTCATATTCATGGAAAAGATGTGCCGCGGCAAGTTCGACACTGATGTCGATAAAAGTAGTGTGCGACAAATAGACATTGTACTGTTGGCAGGACATGCAATGGATGATCTCCAATAGGCAACAGGAGTTACCGGGGGGCACTGGTGCCATGAACCACCCCTGAACCAAAATAATCAAGATTGCTCTAGTAATACAAGGTCTGTATGTACCATAGCAGATAATTGCCGTCCCATGTACATATGATAGCAGAGCCATATAAAAAGCTCTAACCTTAAGTATTCTTCCTTCGCAGTAATCAAGAAATTGGACTTGTCGTGTCTTAAAAAGAACACTTATATGCACTACAATAAACTAAAAATCTTCTATTTCAGCCAAACTGTTATAATAGATACCTCGGTGTAGTATATTAGTTTTTGAAAATCTTCTACTTCAGGCTACTGGGTGTACGTTTCTAGTTAACATTCAGTGACAGTCAAATGCATGAGCCCGGTACCTTGAGAGAGATTTACTGCTACAAGGGAGAGATTAAGTTCTTATACATGGAGAATATCAAGGGAAAGGTACTCACGTCGCTAATGAACCAGAAGAGCTTATAGCCTTTTGTTTTGCAATTTTTGACAACTCAAGAAGCTGCATGGCTTTCTCTCTTTCAGCATTTTTTGCGTCATCACCCTTCCCAGAAACAATCTGCAAGCATGAAGGTCCAAGTAATAATATAAATTATTCAACTTTGTAGGAGTTGCAAGAAAGCCAGAACTAAAAAGTAGACATGTTATTAAATATGTGGCTGCTCCACAGCAGGCCCACACGCCAGCTGGGAAGAGTACACATGCACTTAGTCGCCTAATCGAATGGAAAAGATGTCACACAATTTCGCACCAAAGCACGCTGGCCCACACGCCAGCCACCGTGGAACTCCTGATAGGGTGTGCGTCGGCCTAGCCAGCCATGCATAAATTTGGAGAAGGTTATTTGCAAAGGTTGTATGAAGCACCAGCCATCTCTTAATAACTGCTTGAGTTTTGTTACAGCAGTCACATCCAGATGTAAACGGAAAGCCGTTGGTGTGAGTTATTCAGCTGATATTAACAGTTTTTGGCATCTATTTCACTTAGTGACATTTCCAACACTGAAAGGTGTGAAAATGAACAAATAAAACACGTTTTAACATAATAAATAAAGCGCATGAAGGCATTCATGTTCACCCATATCCATACTACTACTATACTATATAAAGTATAAATATATCCAGATCTGAGGACTGGGATTTGGTCAGATGGTTAGGTGCATGAGTGTATACCCGGCCCACCTGCGTTCGAGCCCTGGATATCGCAAAGAGCTCATGTTTGTCGCTCCTTTATAAAGAAGGCTTTCATGAGGGCCTATCTTTTTTTAATATGTACAGATCAATCAATTCATACTATCCCAAAGAATCCACGGGACAACCGGCCACCCCATGGTGGGAATTGATGTGATTAGGCCTACTATACTCGACTTGTGAATTGCTGACCTGATAGGTGCTAAGAACTAATGGGCAATCTTGGTATAACCGTATAATCATCTCGTTTGGTGATTTTTCTAGTTTAAAGACCAGAACATCATGAGTCTTTTTTTGCCATTGATTACAAGGGGAGCCTTGGCACAGCGGTAAAGCTGTTGCCTGGTGACCATGAGCAGTGGCGGAGTGTGACCGAAACAAGAGAGGGGGCCAAACTCCAACACACAATATGGTCCAAAAGAAATTTTTCACATCATTCCACGTGATTTTCTTCATCAGCCACTTTTCTTTTAAAAATGGACTGCATCATTCATAATGCGATGTGGTGGTTCCCCGCAAAACAAAAATTTACTGATGTGGTGGACATCTAGATTACCAAAAGTCCAGAATATCTCCCCTATAAAAAAGGTCCAGAACATCTAAATACATCACATGACATTCAAAAATAGGACATACTGGAACTTGGGCACTTGCACTAAACAGAAACATGATATCAGTGTATTGGACATACCTAATCAAAACCAAGGGTCTAGGCTGTGGTCTAGGGCGTCAGGTGCTGCGTGCCAGCGAGCATTGCCGGCGTGCAGGAGCTGTGGCTCCAACCAATGAGAAGCCAAGAAGAAACCCCAGGCAGCACCTCGGGCGTGGGGCGCTTCCATGCAGCGTGCCGGTGTGTGTGTGTGGTGGTTCTCAAACCGCCGGTCAAGAAGAAGAATAGGAGGAGCAGCAGGCCAGGATGAAGACAACCAAGGAGATTAGGTCGCCTCACTATGGACTCATGGAGGCTGGCTGGAGGCATGGATGCGTACGTAAACTAATGGGTCAGGCGGTTAGCAAGCAGGACTAGTGTTCCGCTAGAACGATAGGCTGATTGCTACAAGTGGGCTTTAATTGCTGCCAGACTGGGCCAAAGTATACCTAGTAATTAATCTTGTGCACATTTGAAAGGGGGGTGGGGGGTCATGGCCCAGTTTGGCCTCCACGACGCTTAGCAAGTGACCATGAGGGCACGGGTTTGAGTCCTGGAAACAACCTCTTGCAGAAATGTAGGGAAAGGCTGCGTACAAAAGACCCAAAGTGGTCGGACCCTTCCACGGGCCCTGAACAGGCAGGAGCTACGTGCACCAGGCTGACCTGTTTTATAAATTGATTACAAGTGCCAGCATGTCAACAATTCCCCATCCTGATTTAAAACCACATCACCAAGTATCACTCTATGTTTTTAAGGCGACGCCTTACCGCCTTAGGGAGGGGGGGCGCTTTGGCGCCTAGGCGGGCGCTTTGGACGCCTAGGCGCCCAAAGCGGTCGATTTCCAAAGCGGAGGGGGAGCGCTTCGACGCCTAGGCGTCGCCTTAGGGACGCTTTAAAAACATAGGTATCACTTGTTGCTACCTATATACCAGATAAGAGTAGGCAAGCTAGTACTTATGATGATTTTGAGCACAATTTTGTGATATTTATCTGCCCTGCATTCTGGTTCAAGCTCCGCCCCTGAATCTCAAATCTTATTTGAATGTATATGGTTTTGGGAAAGCAGGCTAGAATTTCCAATCTGTTCAAGAACATGGTAGAGGCGTATTCAGCTTACACTAAACATATGATGTTTGGCTCGATCACTCCACAGAAGTATTTTTCTGTTGGTGCTAGATGCTAGAGCTTCCACAATACGAGAACAACTGATTGCTGGCAACAGCATGAGGCAGCTCAATATCACAGGCATGATTTAAGTTATAAAAATCTATCAAGGTGTTTTGCTGGGATATTTCCATTGTGTTGCTGCGGAAAAATAACAAAAAGCAATGTGAGTTCGTATTCGTATAGTCACCAAAAGACATCTCCCGATTCAGCTAGTTCCTGTGTTTACAGCAAGCATTCACCAAAAGATATCTGTCCAGTCGGTTAGTCCCTGTGTTTACAGCAAGCATTCATGTTCTCACTGTCTCACAGGTACATGTAGCCGGGGGAAAAGGTACACTTAAGCATGCAATAAATGAACATTAATGCTACAGTAGCAAGGCACGAAACTGATTTCACGAACCAGCCGCAGAACAGACAGGATTTCACCTTTCGATACGGCCATCTGACAATACCGTGGGTGCGGCATATCCGCTTGAGGACGCTGGTGCAAACCCCTGCAGATCAAGCATGGTCACCTACCAGTCAGTACCAGGCAATCGCGAGCGAAAGCGGCGAATTCCGGCAACGTCAGGGGAGAAGGGGCGGGCGTGGTTTACCTAGGATGGAGGCGGCCTCCGCGATGGGGAGGGAGAAGAGCTTGGAGATCTCCTCGTAGGATAGCGACACCCTGGTCGGCTTAATCTGCGCCTGCGCCTGCGGCTGAGGCACCAGCGCCAGCGCCAAGGAGGGAGCCTGCTCCGCCGCTGGCTGCTGCTGCGCCGGGGGAAGCTCCTGGGCGCTGGCAGCCATGGGGGGCGCGGACATAAGAGTTGAAGCGGGCGGGAGTGGAGAGTGTGGAGCGTGAATGGGATCGAAGCGGTAAGGACGAGGTGGGAGCGGCGGCGGCCGGGACGGGACGGATCGGATCGGCAAGGGAATCTATCTAGGCAAAAGTCTAAAAAAAACCTTGATTTTGTTCTTCAAGTCTGAATCAAACTTTGAACTGAGAATCCCTGAAATCATCACCCTGTGTTTCTTAATCCCGGTTAATCCCAGCCCATTAGTGCTAATAGCTGGTTTGGGCGTTGAGATTGCTGACGTGGCTAGGATTAGGGTTAACCGGACGCGACAATGAACTGACTGCGGGCCTCTTTGGGTACTCACATAAGGTGCAGCGGCGGGGAAAGAACAGAGCTTTTTATTGATGGGAAAAAAAGAGCTTCAGCAGGGGAACCAAATTAGGGTCCGTCAGTAGGCTGGCTGGCTGGCGGCGGCGGCGGCGACGGCGGCGGCGGCGGCGACGGCGGCGGCGGCGACGACGGCGACGGCAACGGCGGCGGCTACAATCGGCGATGTCTTCCTCCTCCCGCGCGTCGTAATCAGGCGGAGGTCGCGGGCGTAGGGCTCCATCAAGGTCGCCCGTGCAAGAAGTCTCCTCCCTGGAAGATACTAGTGCTGCGTCCATGAAATTGTGAGCTCCCAATCTTCTCTACCAATTCTTCCTCGTCCTTCTTTCCATTTCTTATGGTATGAACACTTGAATCAGAGGCTGGCTGTGGATTTTTTCAGTGGCATAGTGATCCCTGCTCCCCAATCCTTGCAGAACTACTGCTCGATCTTAGGGCTGCAATCAGGAGGTTTGAAGCTGCAGGTGGTGATGACTGGCAACCATGATTGGAACAGGGCCAAAGAATTGGAACAGAGGATGCACTGAGTCAACAAGTTCTGGAGAAGAATGCAGAGATTGAACCAAAAATGTTATTGGCAGGTGTATTTACAGGATTTGTACTGCATTAATAGCTAGAAGAAAAATGTAATGCCAAAATCTTGTAATGGCTGAATGATGTAATGGTTGGATGATGTAATGATATTCCATGCTGCTATTTATGTGGTAATTGATGGTTCATTTTGTTAGACTGCAACTTGAGAAAACAACAGGAAGTGCTACTATGTGCTAAATTTCTGGTAACATATCACATAAACAGTAGGTAAATTTGTGAGAACATATCACATGTTCTCAACAACATATATGACATTTCAGCTTACACAAACACAGTTTGAGTAAACCAAAATAACAAGTAATTTATTAATATGCTAACAGAGTGACATAACCAGCAAAAGGACATAACCAGAGTGACATATCTAGTAAAATCACTAGTCCAGAGTGAGAAAATCACTAGTACAGCAGTTTAGTTCCGTATTTTTGCATAAGTTCATCACACAATAGGTACTATATGACCAGAGTGACATAAGGAACAAAAGGACATAGCAATTCAGTAATATGCTAACAGAAAATCACTACTCCATCATATCACATCTTTGATTTTTTTCTTGGATTGCACATTCTGTTTTTTGGTAGCCTTCCTCTTCCCACCATTTGATCCTGCTTGTGCTTGAACTTCTCCTATGCTTTTAGCTTGCTGGCTTGATCTGATTTGAGCATTAGTGTTTGCTTGCTGTTAAAATAATATGAGAGTACATAAGCATGTGAATGCACAAGTGATTAAGAAAAAGCAAAACTATTTGAAACAAGAGAGTGAACTTGTATTTACCTGAGATGACTTCATTTTCCTGCCTGTTTTCTTCAGGAAGGCATTCTTCTTCTTCCCCTTTTCAGGATTCTTGTGGCAACCTGTCTTGTTGTGCCCCTTGTGGCCACACATGCTGCAAGTAATTTTAGTGCCATGCTTTGACATTTTCTTTCCTTTTGGTGCTTCTCCCTCTTCCCTCTTCCTGTCATTATTCCTAGGCCTACCTGGCATACTCACATACCCAGGTGCTTGTGGTCTAGGTTTGTCAGAGATAGGCCATCTCTCTTGTCCTTCTACTGGCTCCAAGCAGCGCTCATATATCTTCTTAAATTGCTCAACTGAATAACATTTGTGAATGAAGTCAGCTATGTTTCTTCCACTCTTGTATATGGCACTGATGGCATGGCAACAAGGCATCCCTGCTAGCTGAAAGTAACCACAAGAGCAAGTCCATTTGTCCAAGTTCACTGTATAGCTCCTTCCTCTGCCACTGACATGTTTCACCTCAAACCCTTCCTTGCCATTCCAAAGCACATCACAGAACTGAGTCATTTTGATGGCCACCTTAAGCTTCTTGAAAATGTTTGGGCATATATCACTAGATGTCCACTTTTCACTTTTGCTCCTATTTTCTTGGACTCTAAGTGTCATCTTGTGTCTAATCTTCTCTAGCATAGAGATGATAGGATAGAATCTGGCCTCAACTATAGCATTGTTAAAGGACTCACATAGATTGTTATCAACTGAGTCACAAAGGGACCCAACAGGAAAAAATGCTCTTGCCCAATGCTTAGGCTCTGTCCTCATTATGTCCCTTGCACCTTCAGGTGTATCTTGAGCTAACTTGGCCTTCCTATACATGAAATCTTCTCTATTTGCAGCCTTGGCAATTGCCCAAATTTCTTTTGCAGAGCATGCTCTCTAAACTTTTTTTTCCAGTTAGCATAGATGTGTCTAGCACACATTCTATGTTGTGCCTTTGGTACGTAGTTTTGCATTGCATTGATAAGGCCCTACATTGAAGTTGCAAAAAATATATTACAATAGGTACATAGGACAAATGTAGATGGGACAAATTAACCTAGCCTAAAAAAGTGTACCTAGCATAAAAGTGAGTCGGTCACGCTTCTACAAGGCGAGTGAACCTAAGCAACCTACCATAAAAGTGAGTAGGTCACGCTTCATCAAGGAGAGTGAACCTAAGCAACCTACCATAAAAGTGAGTACGTCATGCTTCGACAAGACGAGTGAACCTAACCAACATAGCATGAACCTAAACAAACTAGTAATTAATAGGATATCACTAACAAGTAAATAATTAACAAAAAGCCAATATGGACAACTATGTGAACAACATACCTTCTGTTGATCTGATATGAACACCCATCCTTCACCTTGATCATTAATATCCAAGTCCTTTATCAAAAGGCCAACAAACCACTCCCAAGATTCACTAGTTTCTTTCTCCACTACTGCCCAAGCTACTGGATACATTTGATTATTAGCATCTCTACCAATAGCACATAGAAGCTCACCTTGACATGCTCCTTTGAAAAAACAGCCATCAAGCCCAATAACTCTTCTGCAAGCTTTAGAACCCTTTTTCATAGCATTGAAGCATACATAGAAGCTTTGGAAAATATTTTGATCCATGTACTCAGGGTTCAAGCCAACAAGGATTGTGCTCCCAGGATTGCTCCTAAGTAGTTCAAGCTGGTAGTCGAACACCTTGGTGTACTCATCTTTCAGTCCGGCAAGTAGCTTCTCTGACACTATCTTCTTAGCAGCCTTGCACTTTGATGTTGAAACATCCGCAAAGAAATCTTTCAGAACCGTGGCTTTAATGCTATCAATTTTCCATGTCGGATTGGCTCTTAAGATGTGCTCATATCTCCTAGCAATAACTTTTGCTGTGACAAGGTGATTGTCTCTGTTAGGTGCACACTCATGTTGATCTTCATATGTGATCACCTGAAATCTAGAACACATGCTACTATAAGCACCATATATAGTCCACGAACATCCAGGCCATCCACACTTAGCCCTGATCCTCCCTTCTTCTGACTTCATGAAGTTTATACTTCTAAATGTCAGAAGTCCATATTTTATTAGTGCCTTCCTCATCTGTTCATTGCTCCTGAAAAACATTCCCAAGCAGAATAGTGGAATATCTACCTTAGGGTTGTACCTAGGGAACTTAGTTTTCCTCCTAACAAATTCTCCTTCATGATCACTTTCCTCATCATATGATGATGGATCCACACTAATTATTTGCACATCATCATCTGCAGTTATGACTGCATCTGGTTCTACATCAGTCTCTCCTTCTAAATCATTGTCCATCTCATTTTCAAAATCACTACCATTGTCACTTGCACTCTGATCATCTTGCTCCCCAAAATACTCCACATAGACCTCAGCCACTCCTCCATCAGTTATATATTCAGACATCTTCATACAACCAACATCATCACACAAAAATAATAGGCCATCCACTAGTTTTTTACCAGGCATCAGGAAGTGAATCTTCATACTTTCTTTCACTGGTATGTGATCACCAAGAAAGCCTTTGATCTCTGGCAAAGACAATCTATCCCTTTCAATCTCTGAACTTGCTTCATCTCCACCAACATAGTCTAAAGTAGGCCCAATTCGAACAAATTGGCCACCAAAATGAAACCGCACATGTAGTTTGTCGCAAGGATCCATGATGACATGAGGAACCTGCATTGCCACAGATTTTTTGATAAAATCAACGAGTGATACAAGTACTCCGAACTAGATGTAAGAAAAATCTATTGTTTCTGCACAAAGTAAATGCCCTAAAAACCAGATTTTTCTGCGCCTACAAACCCTAACCAGAGACAATCATTGGTGAAAAAAACAAGGACGAGAAGACGAATAGAAGATGGAAGGGGATTACCAGAGATTTTTCCAGCCGCCGTGATCGTCTTGCCGTCCCCGTGATCAATCAATGCATGTACGCCATTGCCGCTGCAAGCTGGGGAAGGAACGGGTGACATCCAGGGAGAGAAACAGGGGAAGGAGCAGGTTCGTGGTGGGGTTTATGAGGACAGTAGGGCCCATAGTCCGTCCATCATGGCGTCCAATTAACCCCTAATCCCAGCCACACCAGCAATCCCGACGCCCAAACCATCTATTAGCACTAATGGGCTGGGATAAACCGGGATTAACAAAGACAAGGTGACAATTCTAGGGATTCTCAATTCAGGGTTTGATTCAGACTTGGAGAACAAAATCAAGGTTTTTTTAGACTTTTGCCATCTATCTATC